AACAATATTTTTCCTGTGCATATTCACTTTTTCAACGAGATTCATTTTTTTAAACTTTTTTTTATTAATTTTGTTTCTAACTTTTTTGGATTTGAATAAAAAGTAATAATAAAAACTAAACTAATAAAAACTGAAATAAAGAATACAAACTTATGATTTCGAAATAGACTCTACTTTGACTCCAAAAGCTGGTGTAAACTTAGGATTAATTTTTAATACATTAATTGCAGTACTACAAACGCATAAAGTACTACAAGTTGACAAATACTGTTCCTGAATAACAAATTTGATATAAAAAAATCTGTCACTGATTCAAATAGTAATATTTTCCTAACGAAATAGTTAATGATAACTAATTATTAGTTTTTCCCAGTAAAATTTAATTCCCGGTTAGTAGAAACCCTATCAAATATATTAGCAGAAACTAAAACCTGTCGAAGACGGAACCGACAGCTAGTATTTCATAATTTTATAATTTTATAATTCTCGCAAAGAATTTTATTAAAATTTTTAAAAATCTTAATTAAATTCTTTTGAAGAATTTCTTTGAATTTTTTTTAAACTAATGGAGTTTATTTAATAATTGTAATTGAAAATTTTGAAAGCAATTTAATTTTATGAAGAAGAATTCTATTAAAATTAAATTGAAAATAATTGAATTCTTGCGAAGAATTTTTTTTATTTATAAAAATAGGTGAATTGTTTCAAAGAATTTATTAAAATTTTAGAAAATAATTGAAATTTATGGAAATATTTAAAAATATTTGAATTCATCCGAGAATTTCAATAAAAATTGTTTTGAAAATAATTGAATTTCTGCAAAGGATTTTACTATTTATAAAAATAATTGAATTATTGAGAAGAATTTTACTGTTTTTAAAAATAATTAAATTGTTCCGGAGAATTTTTTTAAATTTTAGGAAATAATTGAATTGTTTTGAAGAATTTTGTAGAAATATTTGAAAATAATTAAATTTAAAAAAAAATTAAATTAAAGTTGTTTTGAAAATAATTGAATTTTTGTAAAGAATTTTATTAAAAATAAGTATACTCAAAAGAATTGAATTCATCAGAAGAATTTTATTTTTTTTTTTTAAATAATTGAATTCTTTCAATTATTTTTTTTAAGAATATATTTAAAACTTGCATTGAAAATAATTTAATTTTTATAAAGAATTTTTTAAAAATATTTTGAGAATAATTGAATTATTTTTAGAGAATTTTAAATTCTTGTTGAAATTGAATTTTATGGAAATTTTTGAAAATAATAAAATTCTATAGTGTAATTTTATTAAATTTAATTAAAAATAATTTAATTCCTGCACAAAATTTTAGTATTTATAAAAATAGTTGAATTGTTTCAAAGAGTTTATTAAAATTTTAGGAAGTAATTGAAATTTATGGAAATATTTAAAAATATTTGAATTCATCCCAGGAATTGAATAAAAATTGTTTTAGAAATAATTGAATTCCTGCAAAGAATTTTACTATTTATAAAAATAATTAAAATGTTTCGAAGAATTTATTAAAATTTTATGAAATAAATAAATTTTTAGGAAGAATTTTATAGAAATATTTGAAAATAATGAAATTTTTTCGAGAAATTCAATTAAAGTTGTTTCTCTCAAATTCATCACAAGTATTTTATTATTTTTTGAAAATAATTGAATTCTTTCAATTTTTTTGACAAATATAATAAAAAATTCCAATCCACTTTGACACCGCCTTAAGTGAATTTTTTTTAATTTTGATTATGAAATTATTTTAAAAATTTATATTTGAAAATAAAAAATTTTGTCATTTGCATAACAATAATAAATTGACATTTGCTAGTAATTGCGTAACATTTGCTAGTATTAAATAAAATATAATATAAATATTTTATGAGGAGAAAATAATAAAAAACCGTAATTTATTATTAATTAAAATAAGCACAGATTTTGTTTTATAAAGTCAAAAAAAAAAAAAGAAAAATTTGAAAAACAAATGCAGCAGGTGTTGATAATACTAGTTTGGAATTGCTTCAAGTTTTGGATGATTTTTTAATAAAGAGAGTTTGGAGAATAAGGGATGAGGGAAAGAAAATGGCAAACAAGGGGTAGAAAGAGGGTGGGGTGGGGGGTGGGTGAAAGTTTATCCCCAATACGTGCGACTGATCCCGATGTTTTGGATGGAATGGGGATGTTGTATGGGTATAGATGACGAAAGGTTAGGTCCACGTAACAGCACACGCGTGTGTACATAAACCCTAGCTTCTCTCTATTGCATGTACTCAATATACATATCACGTAGATAACGTACACCATACACGATCGTCACGCTTCTAAAGATTTGGCACGTTCAGATGGACAAATGGTGTAAATCGCTTTGCTTTTCTCTACGCCATAAATCGATTTTATCACCGCATTTGTGCGGCGCACCTAATTCATATTTCAGTTTTGCGCTCTCTATATAAATGTTCCGATTTTTACCTCTTTCCTTCCTGAAAAAAAGGGATAACGCTCACATTTTCGAATGTAGCATACAGATGAAATACAGTGAGAATAGTAATGAAAATAATGACAATAGAATTGTTAAAAGGTTCGGAATTTTATTTTCTAGTTGTATTTCTTTGCTTTTGTTTTCTAATTTTTTTCTGGTTATTTTTTCTATAGAAGTAGTAAAAGTCCTGTTTCAGTAAGACGTTAAAATATTTTTATAATTTTAAAATTAGTCATAAGTTGAAACTTATAACTATTACGTTATTAAGATTCATTTAAATAAAAATAAATTTTAGTTAAATTTCAGTAGTAATGTCACAGTATAGTCAGGCATTTTTCACATTCTTTGGTAAAATGATTTTTAAATTATATAATTACTTTTCACAAAAATTAAGTTGAAATTCCTAAATGCTAATTTAACAAAATTTCAATTAAAGAAATTCTAAATTAATTTCAGTAGTAAAGCCAAAGAATAGTCAGACACTTGTGAAGTGGATTGTTCATTTTTTTCTGTTTCCTCCAATATTAATTTCAAATTACAATTAATTCACGGATCATTAATGTATTTTAACAAAGTAATTATACTCAATTATTATAATTACTCATGTATTATTTCTGCATAAATAAATTCTAATTAGATTTCAGTTGCAAAATCCGAATATATTCAGACATTGAGTAAAATTTGGAGTTTTTATCTTTTAAATTAGAAAAATTAAATTAAAAAATAAAGTATATTTGTAACGTAACAAGCTATGAACTCTTAACTGAAAAATAATGCATTTTTGTTTGATTTCAGTAGTAAAGTCAGAGTATAGTCAGACGTTTTTTACATTTCTTGAGAGAAAATAATTCGTAAATTATAAATAATTCGCTATTTAAATAAATTTACTTAAATTAGCGTTCATAAATAAATTTATAATATTTATAAATAAATTCTAATTAGTTTTCAGTAGTCAAACCAGATTATAGTCGGACAAAGCAGTTTCATTTCTAATTTATTTAGCATCATAATTATTAGTAATTTATACATTAAAGTATTATTTTTTGAATTATTAAAAAATATATTAGTGAAGAGAAAAAAAGAAAAAAAAGTAAAAAAAAAAGAAAAAATACTTAATATTCTTGGAATTTTAACGTCCAAGTAGTAAAACAAAATTATAGTCAGACACAGTAAAAAGAAAATCTTATTTTAAAGCACGAAAGCTGCCTTAAATTAAGATGCAACATTTTTAAGACAGTCAATGTTAAATTTACGCACGTTTTTCGTATCCTTTAACATTATAGCAGACAGTGTTGAATTGAAGGCAGCTCTTACATTAGGATTTACTTTTTACTGCGGACAGTTGATATTAATTTCTAGGTAATTTACAATAATAATTTAATAATTATAAACAATTTTTTACAACAACAAAACAAAACATAGGGAGTAATTTTTTAGATATTAGTAACAAAGGACCATCTTAGTCAGACAAAATAATTTTCATTAGTAGTAACTTACAGTGACAGAAAGGCATTTTTAAATTTTTATAGCTAAAATAATTATAAAAGAAGAAAATAGTATATAATATACAATATTATATAGTACATAATACTAAATTATATATTATATAAGATAATCTATAAAATTTATAGTCTTTTCATATTTAAAAATTATGAAAATATTACTTCTATATAAAAGTGAAATTATAATAATTTAAATGAATGTGTGTATATTATTAAAATATTCGAGCACTTGACTGTAATCAAAGGCATATGCAAATTGCGTGCAATTTAATTCTTCATTCCAAAAGCAGTTTTCCTTAAACTCGACCAATTAAAAGGCATCACGGTGGATCTTCACTGAATTTCCATTTTATTCATTACACGAATATACAATTAAACGTTCTCAAATCTCAATTTCGACGAGTTATTTTACTTTCTTTTAATTTTTTTTTCTTTCAAATGAAAATCAGAAACTCTTTCTTTTTTTCTTCTTATGCTGTTGTTGTTGTTCGCTTTTTAATTTCAAATGCAAGGGAAGAGAATATTATATTGGAAAATTTTAATCTAATGAGTAAAATATTTATATTTATAGAAAATGAGGATAATGAATTGCAAATTACAATGAAATTTTAAACAATAAACACAAAATTCTAATGCATCAATGAGAATATTTTGAAAACAGAATGGAAAGCAAGTATAATGAGTAAAACAGTATAAATAATATTTAAAGAACTAAATTAAAATAATTAAATTTAGTTATCAAATAAAAATTTCAAGTTATAAATAAAAAAAGTTATAAAAATTTGCTTAATAATTAATTATTAATAATAATATTAATTTTTGGTTAGTAATTAAATAAGTAATGAAAGATATTTTTAGTTTTCTCTAGTTAATAATTATAAAAAATTTAGCTGAAAAATTTTTCCTTTTTAAAATTTAGAAATAACATTTTCAATGAAATTTTTCCTGTATTTTTCAACTATATTTTTTGTTTGCTTTTCGTTTTTATGAAAAATTAATAATTTCTGTCGTTTGCAGATAATCCGGAAATAGATACGGAAACGAAGCTCGTAAATGGCGAGGCGACTGGTTCGCGAAAAATGGAGGTACAAATTGGAGGTGCTGTTACGCTCGAATGTGATGGCGGATGCTGGGGACATGGTCCAGACATGGATCCAGTCGGTGGTCCTGGACCACTTTCTCTAAATCGTGTTGTTTATCAAGATGCCGGTGAATACAAATGCGTTGCACCGGATCCCAAATTACAAAATACATGGCGAGCTCAACTGCCTTATCAAATTAAGGTTACAGGTGAGTGCCTTTAACTATTCTTCGAGTTAATTTCATTAATTCTCTGCTATTAGTCCGACACAATCCGTCGCTTATTTTTGTTTCTTGTTAGAAATTTAGGTAATTTACTACTTAGAGTTTAATGTAATAAATATAATAGAGTTTAATGTTTAATAACAATTTAATAATAGACCATTGAATGATAATAATAACAGACATGGATATTAAATTAATTAATTTAATTCTAAAAATTCATTTCTTGAATTCATCTAATTTAATAAATTCATGTTATAATTTAGTTTAATTTAATATAGTGATCTATTTATGATGAATCAAAATCAATATTCAGGTCCACCCGTACGCCATCAGAAAACCATAATTTGGTAAAAACGAAAATAAAAATTTATTTCTTCCAAATTTAACAATTCTAATTATCTGAAATTTATCAGAGTTCTAGTAGGGACTGAGCTCTACTCAATCCTGAAAAATAGAGAATTTTATTTCAAGTTTTAAGTAGTAGCAGGTCCACCCGTACGCCATCACACAATCATAATTTGGTTAAAACGAAAATAAAAATTTATTTCTTCCAAATTTAACAATTCTAATTATCTGAAATTTATCAGAGTTCTAGTAGGGACTAAGCCCTACTCAATCCTGAAGAATAGAGAATTTTATTTCAAGTTTTAAGTAGTAGCAGGTCCACCCGTACGCCATCAGACAATGAAGATTTGGTAAAAACGAAAATAAAAATTTATTTCTTCTAAATTTAACAATTCTAATTATCTGAAATTTATCAGAGTTCTAGTAGGGACTGAGCCCTACTTAATCCTAAAGAATAGAGAATTTTATTTTAATTTTAAGGTAGTAGCAGGTCCACCCGTACGCCATCAAACAATCATAATTTGGTTAAAACGAAAATAAAAATTTATTTCTTCCAAATTTAACAATTCTAATTATCTGAAATTTATCAGAGTTCTAGTAGGGACTAAGCCCTACCCAATCCTGGAGAATAGAGAATTTTATTTAAATTTTTAGGTAGTAGCAGGTCCACCCGTACGCCATCAGACAATCATAATTTGGTTAAAACGAAAATAAAAATTTATTTCTTCCAAATTTAACAATTCTAACTATCTGAAATTTATCAGAGTTCTAGTAGGGACTGAGCCCTACCCAATCCTGGAAAATAGAGAATTTTATTTCAATTTTTAGGTAGTAGCACCCTTACCCGTACGCCATCAGACAATCATAATTTGGTTAAAACGAAAATAAAAATTTATTTCTTCTAAATTTAACAATTCTAATTATCTGAAATTTATCAGAGTTCTAGTAGGGACTGAGCCCTACTCAATTCTGAAGAATAGAGAATTTTATTTTAATTTTAAGGTAGTAGCAGGTCCACCCGTACGCCATCAAACAATCATAATTTGGTTAAAACGAAAATAAAAATTTATTTCTTCCAAATTTAACAATTCTAACTATCTGAAATTTATCAGAGTTCTAGTAGGACTGAGCCCTACCCAATCCTGGAGAATAGAGAATTTTATTTCAAGTTTTAAGTAGTAGCACCGTCACCCGTACGCCATCAGACAATCATAATTTGGTTAAAACGAAAATAAAAATTTATTTCTTCCAAATTTAACAATTCTAATTATCTGAAATTTATCAGAGTTCTAGTAGGGACTAAGCCCTACCCAATCCTGGAGAATAGAGAATTTTATTTAAATTTTTAGGTAGTAGCAGGTCCACCCGTACGCCATCAGACAATCATAATTTGGTTAAAACGAAAATAAAAATTTATTTCTTCCAAATTTAACAATTCTAACTATCTGAAATTTATCAGAGTTCTAGTAGGGACTGAGCCCTACCCAATCCTGGAAAATAGAGAATTTTATTTCAATTTTTAGGTAGTAGCACCCTTACCCGTACGCCATCAGACAATCATAATTTGGTTAAAACGAAAATAAAAATTTATTTCTTCTAAATTTAACAATTCTAATTATCTGAAATTTATCAGAGTTCTAGTAGGGACTGAGCCCTACTCAATTCTGAAGAATAGAGAATTTTATTTTAATTTTAAGGTAGTAGCAGGTCCACCCGTACGCCATCAAACAATCATAATTTGGTTAAAACGAAAATAAAAATTTATTTCTTCCAAATTTAACAATTCTAACTATCTGAAATTTATCAGAGTTCTAGTAGGACTGAGCCCTACCCAATCCTGGAGAATAGAGAATTTTATTTCAAGTTTTAAGTAGTAGCACCGTCACCCGTACGCCATCAGACAATCATAATTTGGTTAAAACGAAAATAAAAATTTATTTCTTCCAAATTTAACAATTCTAATTATCTGAAAATTGCCAGAGGTCTATTAGGGACTGATTCCTACCCAATTCTGAGGAATAAAGAATTTTATTTCAAGTTTTAAGTAGTAGCAGGTCCACCCGAACGTTATCTCAATTTTTTTTTAAAATGGATTTATTAACTTTTGAAAAATTGCTCCACAAATTTATTACAATTTTTTTTAAATAATTGAATTCTTTTGGAACATTGTATTAGAATAGTAGATTCCTATTAAAAGTCATTGAATTGAAGAAAATTTTTTTTAATAATTGAAATTTTGCCAAGAATTTAAGAATTTAAAAAATTTTTGAACATAATTAAGTTTGTGCGATAAGAATTTTATTACTTTGGAAAATAATTGAATTTCTGTAATCATTTCTAATTTCTCTAAAATTATCCATATTATATCGTACAATTACTACTACTACTACATCTACGTACATCTAGTTTGAGCACTGCAATTTGTTCAAAATTTAGTAGTAAAACAGCCTTTCTAGTCAGACACGACAGTCATAGACATATAGAATTTAATGTTTTATTAATTTTCGTTTTAGCAGTAAAAAATTAACTGTCACAGTTTGTCCATTTTATTTTTGTATGTAAATTGAACAGTCTAGTTAAATAAAATTTCTCTCTCTCGGATTCAAATCTAGAATTTTCCAAAGAAATTTTTTTTTAATTTATGTAAAAGTATAAACGATAAAAGTAGAATAAAAATTTATTGCAATTGAGAACATTTTGAAATATCCTTACTTGACAAGTGTTTATACATGTAAAATGTTTATATATATATATATATATATATATATATATATATATATATATATATATATATATATATATATATATATTCTCGAGTGCCGGAAATCTGATACTGAGTCAAACGACTATTTCCATGCGTAAATCCTTATCGATACTTATGCTCAGCGTCACGTATAGATGGACCAAGACGAATCAAGACCAAGTTTCTCTCTCTCAATATATACATATATATATTTGCATATGAAGGAAAACAAGTTTACGACATTGGAATGGGAATTGTCGTGTGTCATATAAACTGAAGTACGGTTTTACTTGGTCGATATGTATTGGATGAATCTTGAGTTCAGTTAGACGTTACTCAATGGGACAAAAGAGTATTGGAAAACGAGATGGAGAAGGTAGGGAGAAAAAGAAAAAGAGAGAGAGAAGGAGAAGAAGAGAGAAAGAGAGATAGAGTATTTGATTTTACTGTGTCAAGGCACGTGGTATTTACTCTCTATTTAGACGGAAGGAAATGTCGATTTGAATTTCCATCATGAAAAAAAAGTAATTTCCCCATGTGAATAGAAACCGCCGAAGGCTTCATCGTAAGAAGACGGAATCCTATTTCAGAAAAGCTTAATTCATTCGAATTTCGTTTTCGTTTCTTATAAATTACGAAATCATTCCTTTATGTGTGCGCATACAATATTAATATTGGTTTTAATAAATACTTCAAATTATAAAATGAAAATAAAATTTATATAAGTAAATAAATAAATATTCTTATAAAATAACATTGTCTGACCTGACCGAATTTTTCCACTTAAAGTTGAAATTTCATTTATTGCCCTTCTTTGGGGGTTTTTTCTAACCTAACAGATTTTCACATGTCTGACTGAAATGGTTTTTTCTACTTGAAGGAAAAATAAGATAATGGCCATGATGCCAAGACTTACTGAAAGAGTTTTCTTTTCGATTTCAAGTAAAAATTGAAAAAAGATAATGTGAGTCTTGATAAAATGGATTTTTCTACTTGGATAAAAGGGGTATTAGTGGAATATGTAGGTTTTAGTCAGACGAAAGTTTTTTCTTTCTCTTTTTTTGGTATTACTATTGGAAACTGAAGGATTTATTCATAAATCAAATATCATTTAGAATCAGTAGGAAAGAACAATTTCTTACATATTTTTTGTGTTTAGTAGAAAAAGTCAGCTGTAGACAGACAGTCTTTTTTAATTTTTCTGTACTAAATAACTTTATTTTTTTATTAGTAGTAATTTCTTATTTTCGCCGGACAAGATGTATAAAAATTAGAAAAATAAAAAATAACTTCAAGTTTCAAGTAGTAAAAACCAATTTCAGTCAGACAAAACTTTGTTCTTTTTCTCCTCTAAAAAATAATCATTATTTTTCCATTATTAGTTACTATCAGTCCTTGACAGACAAAATTCCTAAAAAATACCGAAATTAAAAGTAACTAACTTTCAGTAGTAAAAACCAATGACAGTCAGACAAATTTTTGTAATTGTTTTCGTAAGTAAATAATTAGTTATTTTTTATCACTAGTAATTTACATTCCCTGCTAGACAATAGAAGGGAAAAGCTTTTTTTAATTGAAATTCCGAAATTAAAAATAATTTCAGTTTTAAGTAGTAGAGACTAATTGTAGTCAGACAAAAAATTGTAACTTCTTTTTTACAGTAAAGAATCGTTATATTATCACACTAAGCAATAATATTTCTTCAATTACTAGTGATTTACAGTCCTTCTTCAGAAAAATTACATAAAAAATATCAATAATAAAAATTACTCTTAAGTTTGAAGTAGTAAAGATCAATGTACAGTCAGACAACACAAAAAATTTAATAATTAGGTCACGCTTTAAAATTTTGAAAAAAAATTATTTCCTGTGTGAAATACATTTACGAAACCATCAA